TGAGTCTTCCATTATTTTTAAGAAGGCAAGGGATCCTAAAAACCATAAAATACCTCGGAATAAACCTAACCAAGGATACAAGAGATCTGTATGATGAAAACTATAGAAAACTTATGAAGGAAATTGAAGAAGACACAAAGAAATGGAAAAACATTCCATGCTCATGGATAGGAAGAATAAATATAGTTAAGATGTCATTACTACCTAAAGCACTCTACACATTCAATGCAATTCCAATCAAAATTGCACCAGCATACTTCTCAAAACTAGAACAAACTATCCAAAAATTTGTATGGAACCAAAAAAGACCCCGAATAGCCAAAGTAATACTGAAAAATAAAACCAAAACGGGAGGTATCACCATCCCAGACTTCAGCCTCTACTACAAAGCTGTCATCCTCAAGACAGTATGGTATTGGCACAAAAACAGACCCATAGACCAATGGAACAGAATTGAGAACTCAGAAGTGGACCCAAAAGTATACAGCCAACTGATCTTTGACAAAGCAGGAAAGAATACCCAATGGAAAAAAGACAGCCTTTTTAACAGATGGTGTTGGGAGAACTGGACAGCAACATGCAGAAGAATGAAACTAGATCATTTTCTCACACCATACACAAAAATCAACTCAAAATGGATAAAGGACCTGAACGTGAGACAGGAAACTATCAACACCCTAGAGGAGAAAGCAGGAAACAACCTCCTTGACCTCCACCGCAGCAACTTCTTACTTGACACATCCCCAAAAGCAAGGGAATCGAGAGGAAAAATAAACTGTTGGGACCTCATCAAGATTAAAAGCTTCTGCACAGCAAAGGAAACAACCCAGAAAATTAATAGGCAACCAACGGAATGGGAAAAGATAGTTGCAAATGACATATCAGATAAAGGGTTAATATCCAGAATCTATAAGGAACTCACCAAACTACATGCCCGAAAAACAAACAACCCAGTGAAGAAATGGGCAGAAGACATGAACAGACACTTCTCCAAAGAGGACATCCAGATGGCCAACAGACACATGAAACGATGCTCAGCATCCCTCCTCATCAGGGAAATACAAATCAAAACCACACTGAGATACCACCTCACGCCAGTCAGAGTGGCTAAAATGAGCAAATCAGAGAACTCTAGATGCTGGCGAGGATGTGGAGAAACGGGCACCCTCCTACACTGTTGGTGGGAATGTAAACTGGTACAGCCCCTCTGGAAAACAGTGTGGAGGTTCCTCAGGAAACTAACAATAGAACTCCCTTATGACCCAGCAATAGCACTGCTAGGAATTTACCCAAGGGATACAGAAATGCTGAAGCATAGGAGCACATGTACCCCAATGTTCATAGCAGCACTCTCCGCAATAGCTAAAACATGGAAAGAGCCTAAGTGTCCATCAACAGATGAATGGATCAAGAAGATGTGGTTTATCTATACCATGGAATACTACATGGCAATGAGAAACAATGAAATCTGGCCATGTGTAGCAACATGGATGGACCTTGAGGGTGTTATGCTGAGCGAAATAAGTCAGGCAGAGAAGGACAAATACCATATGTTTGCACGTATAGGAGGATTAGGAGGAACTTGATGGAGGACCAAGGGGGAGAAGAAGGGCGGAAATGGTGGGGGAAAGGGAGAGAGGCAAACCATGAGAGACTCTTGAATGCTGACAAAAACTGAGGACTGATGGATGTGGGGGGGAGGGGGGGATGGGCATGAAGGAGGGCACTTTGGGGATGAGCACTGAGTGTTATGTAGAAACTAATTTGACAATAAACTATTTGTAAAAAAAATAAAAAAAAAATAAAAAAAAAAAAAAGAAGGCAAGGGATCCTAAGATTAAAAATTTTGAGAATTGCTAATTGAAATCTTTTTTTCTTAGACACGGAAACGACAATACAAAACTCGGTATACGTAGTCCAAATTAGAAAATAATATGAGCCTATGTGCATAAAAAAGTCGTCTTTTTCTCTTTCAAATCATGGGGAGGTGTTTTAAATCTTAGGAAAGAGTAGATAGAAAAACTAACTGTACTAAACTTCTTGTCTTAAATAAATTAAACTAGAAAGTATTTTAATTTACAATGTTATGATAAGTACACTTTTAAGAATATGCAGTATGGGGCACCTGGGTGGCTCAGTTGGTTAAGCACCCAACTTTGGCTCAGGTCATGATCTCACGGTTTGTGGGTTTGGCCCCGCGTCGGGCTCTGTGCTGACAGCTAGCTCAGAGCCTGGAGCCTGTTTCAGATTCTGTGCCTCCCTCTCTCTATGACCCTCCCTTGCTCACGCTCTCTTTCTCTCTCTCTCTCTCTCAGAAATAAATAAAAACATTAAAAAAAAGAATATACAGTATGTATATATACAGAATATACAATATGTTAAGTATCTAATGTCAGATTTTAAGATGATGCTTATAATCCAGCAGACACAGAAATTCAAAGCACAGAAGACAGTTCATTCTGCAAAAGATGAAGTAGAAAGGAAGCAAAGCAAAATAAAATATAAGGGAAATTATAATAGTGTGAAATGAGTCTGTAAAGTCTAAGGTTTATAGAAATTGAAGCATGTGGGGGAATATTGAGGAATTTTGTGTCTGTTTTCATCATTAAATCTGGAAGGCAAGTGTATCTTGGGGGGAAATCAGGAAGAAATCTGGCTGCTTTGACAAAAAGAAATGAAGTGAACTAGGATTGCCTTTTCCAAAGCACTGCTGCTTATAGAAATATCACTATTTTTAACCTGATGAAAAGAAGTAAAAACAGTAAGAATATGATGGATTTTGATTTGCATAGAAAAGGTCACAGTGAGTTAGAAGAAAACTAACAGAACCATACACCTATCTTTTTACATTGTCTGTACAATTTTAGGGGGACTTTAAAATGACATCTGGAAAGGATTCTATGTAGAAAAAAATCTTCTAAAGATGGGAAAAGAAGCCACGAAGAGCATTGGGATAAATTGAGATTACCCACTTTGGAGAAGTCTCTGCTTCAGTTACCCTGGGTCTCCTTATAGTAGCTCGAGGCAGGGGTCTATTAAAGTCCATTGGACAGAGGTTGTTGTCTACACTGAAGTAGAAAGAGAAAAAGTAAGTTCAAATCTGAGCCTGAATATTTGGGTTGTATGTACAGAGCTGTGTCTTTAGGCCCTTGAAACAATAAAAGTATCTAGAATCTCACTGACTCTTTAAGAACAGTAGTGATACACCTCCACTTTATTGAAATCCAGGCTAGAAGCGATCCTTACAGCTGAAGGAATTTTCAGTGCATCCTTTGGGTAGCTCATATTTCCTTCTCCCCAAAGTTCCTTTTAGTACTCAGGTTTCCATTTTCCACTTTGTCTACAGTTGGTGCCCTTAGCCTGGGCAGGCTGCAGGCGGGGCATTCACCCCTCACCCAAGTGATCTTTTACACAGGAGACTTGACCCCTGCAGCCACTCATCCACTCTTCACCACCTTCCTCACTCCAGGAGGATATCTGGGAGCCTGTTTTCAAAGGCACTTCCAGAAAACTAACCAAATAATATTGTTGCAGAGTGACCCCTGCCAAAATTCACTAAACTGCCTCTCTGATCAAGAAAACCCATTTATAGCTCTCTGAAGCATCACTAAAAGCCAAGAATGGAGGGTTTGTCTCAAAGATGGCATCCACTAACGCTGTAAGAGCAGCAAGGACTATTGAATTATTGCCATCAAGACTGATTTGATGATCACTTTCACAAAGCAAGATGGTACTGGCAAGAAAGCAAGTCAGGTGTTATTGTTTCCTTACTTCTTGACCCTGTGATAAGGGATGCTTATATCACTTAAGTCTCTACTTCAGAAAATTCAGATTAATTTACATATTTACACCTGGTAATGAACTCAGTCGTGATGCTCATCAAACTTTTTTTTTTTTTTTTTTTTTTTTTTTTTT